TAGGAAGAGACTGATATAGCTAGACGGACAGATAGGAAGAGAAAGATAGGAAGAGACTGATATAGCTAGATGGATAGATAGGAAGAGAAAGATAGGAAGAGATTGATATAGCTAGATGGATAGATAGGAAGAGATATAGATAGATGATAGATACAGCTGGATGGATAGATAGATAGGAAGCTACAAGTAGATATAGCTAGATAGGTAGACAGTAGGAGATAGAGTGCTTACTATGTGCTAGGCACTGTGCTAAGCTCTGAGTACACAAATACTACCAAGAAAGGAGTTTACATTCTAACAAAAGTTTATATTCTTAACAGAAAGGGGAGCTGGAAAAGGTGAGGGGTATACAGTCATCTTGACCAGGAAGGAGTATAAAGGCCTGGATCTGGGTAAAATGAGGCAAAATTTCACCTACTGGAGCCTGTCAACCCAAGTTCATAAGGGCGCATATCGAGGTGCTGGGCAGGGAGCCTGTAGCATGCTGTATAGATGGCTAGCAATGTCCTTTCATGAAGGACAATGTCATTTTTGATCCCAAAAGCAAAAGATCATATCAGACGAGAAACTCTGGTTAAAAACATGGAGTATAAGATCATTGTAATCTTTTTCCTAAGGAGACTCCAAGAAGGCTTCCATGAAAAATTGAAAAAATTGGAGAACAGAACTTACTCCAGAAGATGATCTGATAAATGGTCTGACAGATTCCACTGATTCTGGAAATGTATCACTATTCATTATATATTCCAAGGCTTTTTTTTTCTTTTTTCTTCCCAATGCAAGGGGGAGGAGAGAAAATAGATTTTTGTTAAACTAAAAAGGAAAAGAAATAAACAAATTACAGGGCTCAGCATACATTGATATCAAGGCTGCATTCAATTTGATTCTCCATAATGCCACTGGAGCAAACAGTCCTTTTCCCTTTCTAACTCTACAATCCAACCCAACTAGCCTTTCTTCTGTTCTTCACATACATTTCACGTCCTGTCTCCCAAGTTTTTTCACTGGCCATTTCCCATGCCTAGAATGTACTTCCTTATCCTTAGCTGTGCCTCACAGCATCCCTCTTTTCCTTCAAGACACACCTCAGTCAGAAGCCTTTCCCAATCTCAGCTGCCCTTAGGCCTTTCCCTCTCATATACCCTATATTTAACTATTTCACTTTTGTTACTTATTCTGCACCAATTTCTATATATGCTTATTTCTCCCATTAGAATATAAGCTCATTGTGAGCAGAGAGTGCTTTATTATTTACATATACTTGTATCCTCAGTACCTAACCTAGCACAATGTATGGCACATAATAAACACTTAATACTTAATATTTTGATTGAATGAATTCTCTACCTCATTCCACATTCTTGGCTACAAATGCAAATCACTTTCCCAAAGGCCTCCAAGCCTTCATACATTCGGCACAGTCGTATGTTTTCTCCAGACACTGCATGTGTTAGGTTTTTGGGACTGGACCATAGAACTTCAGGGGACGTCGATTCAATACTCATGTGTTATCCAGATGGTACAGAGGATGATAAAGAGTACTGGGCCTAGAGTCAGGGAGACCTGAGCTCAAATCCAACCTCAGACACCGAGCTCTGTGATCCTGGACAAATCACTTACTTAACCTGTTTGACCCAGTTTCCTCATCTGTAAAACAGGGATAATAATAGCACCTAGCACCTACCTCCCAGGGTTGTGAGGATCAAATAAGCATGGTATCCGACACATACAAGCACTACATAAATGTCAGTAACTACTGCTATTTCAAGTGTTGGGAAAGGCATTCTACTGCCTGTTCTATTCCGCTTCAACAGGAAGGCCAGATGTACAGATGCCCACTCTTATGTGAGCATTCAGAAGCAAGTATAGCATTTCCTCTAATACAGCCATCTAGTTACTTAAATGAAACCTCTGGACAGTAGTTAATTTTTAATCCAAATCTGGTTTAATCCTCATCTGGATTTTCATTTTCTTTCTTAGAGGAGGGGACCTAGCCTTTACCAGCTATTGTGTAAGATATAAGGTTTTCTTTCATTGGGTGGTAGCTGATTTTAGTCACAGAACCACGAATACTCAGAACTGGAAGAGATCCCTTGAAGCTAACCTACTTCAGTCCTGGCCCGAGCAGGAATGCTCTTTACATCCCTGACAAAGGGTCTTCTGGCTTCTACTAGAAGACATCTAGGGCATAAGGAAGGAACTTACTACCTGCTGAGCTATAACTGGTAATTTTGGCTCCTGGGGCATGTGGCCAAAAGCTTCCTCTATGGTAAACTTTCTAATGCATGATGTGAAATTAATACAAGTTAATTTGAATGGGAAAGGGGAGCCTAGAGCAGCAGTCCAACTTGGGGTCACACAGACACCAGGGCACCAAGCAGCATTTTCTGAGGAGGCTACTTCCTGGGAAAGGACTCATTAGGTTTGAGTCAGGGTACAGCAGGACAGAGGCAAAAGGAGGAAGTATCCCCTTTGGAAGCTTCCTATTTTGAATAATTCTTGCTATACAAGGTGCTAAATTCAGTTGATTCTATGTTGCTGAAGATGTTACACATACTGCTAAAATGTAAATGAAGCGAATTTAAAAACTGTGTAATTTGTTAAATAAAAAAAACCCTCTTTATACCCTCTAAATGTTGGTGCCCTGGGGTACGGGACTGGGGTTTTGTAACTCCTTGGTTTTCCCATCTTAGTCATCGCTCCACCCTGTGGCAGTGGGTTCTGCCTTTGGACTCTTAATTGTGAGGAAGTTCTTCCTTGGATTGAGCCAAAGCCTGCTTTTTTTGTAATTTCCACCTATTGCAGTACCTCACTTATCTTGGATTTCAACACGCTGTTAACCACATTAGCCTTCCCAGTTCAAAGACCACTCTCCTTCTCAAGAAAAACAGAAGCAAAATAGGAGATGCTAAGTTCTGTCCTCTCTGTCCACTATAATTGTCTAGCCCACCCTGTGTAGCACTCCTATCCCTCCTTTGACTTAACTCTTGCCCTGCTCCCCCCAAAATGTCCTTTAGATTCCGGGGGTGCCAGCATCTCTTATGGCCTTGGCACCCACCCACTGACTAGTACAGCTGGTTTGGAAAGATGGGGCACCCTCCATCAATCTGAAAGCACACAAACACCAAGGAGCCCAAGCACAGATAATCAAAAATGTTTTAATGATTAACGCTTTGACATTGTTTAACAATGTGGGTATATCCAGATGAGCTAAGGATTATTTCTAGCACACTTAGCACTATTGAGTATTATAGCTTCTGTACTGAAATATGTAAAGATTTTTGCAAACTGGTACCTAGGAATGAAGACATACACATACACACACATACACTCTCTAGTTTTGATAAGGTAAATGTAAACAGATGCCATGACTTCTTCAAAACAAGTAAAGAAAACCCACAAGACTAATAAGAGAACTCATTAGTTCTCCTAAGATATGGATGTGCAAAATTAAAGCATGGTAAACTGATATTTACATAAACATCAAACCAACAGTCTATACATTTAGATCAATGATTCTCTAAGATATACTGCATGAGTGGTTAAATGTAATTGCTGCTCAGTGAATAAGGTATTTATTTATAGGCTAAGTTCCAACACTTTAAAGGACATATACAATAGCTCTTGTCTGTTTTTGCCACTCAAGGGTGTAAGACAAGATTTTATGGTAAGCAGTATATCATTTTTTTAAATAAGCAGTTTTAAACAAATCTTTAGATATCAAGCAGAAAAATTACAGGTGATATATAAGACTTACAAGAAACAATCATCTCCAAATTTCCCAGTTCTCTCTTCCACTGTAGCTATCTGTTTAAATTTTACCTTTAAAAAAAAAACACTCAAATTTGGGAAAGTGTTCTCTCTTTTCTTTTCAGTAATCTAGGCACATTAAAAAAACAAAACAAAACAAAAAAACTTTGCATCTGAACAGACAGCAGTACAGAAACCAATCTAAATATGACCCCTGCCAACCAATCATAGATCATCTGTAGGACTATGTTACATCAAAAGTACTCAGTTGTCTTTCTTGGAAAGGTGTATATCCTACCCATGATGTGTGAAACAAAACCAGCATTGTTCCCTTGTATAAAAGCCACTTAGCAATTTGGAGTTGAGAAATTAAAAACAGTTTGTCCATCATACACTCTTCTTTAAACCTTAAAGACAAGCTATATATATATATATACATATATACATACACATATATATATGTATGTATATATACATACATATATATATACACATAGATATATATGTATATATATCTCCTGTTATGGTTGCTCTAGCGCACATTTTAATTTTTATTTTCTTACATTAATAGCGGCACACAAAATAAAAAAATACGATCTGTTAAAAAGTTAAACTGATTGCTTCATTAGAATCTAGGCCTGCTTAAAGAAAGCCAATATTACAAAACCGGAGGTGCCATTGCTGATTTCACTGAAATGTGCACATGCCACTTAAAATTATGCTTCAGACGTTATTCATCTCATGAACTGTGGTCTTTGATCTTGCTAAATGGAACATGTTAAGAAAATCAAATTAAAAAAACAAAAAACAAAACTTAAAACATAACTTTAACTTTAAACTGAAAAGCTTTGGGCCCTGCTTTGTTATTTTTTTGTTCAACTTTTAAGGCATGTGTGTTTATCTCTACTAAAACAACATACAAATTTACATTTATAATCACATGCATGATCTACAGTAAAAAAAAATGAGACTGGATTACAGTGTTTGGAAATTGTGAATCACAATTCAGCACCTATCATATTGACTAATAAGGCAACAGCAGTGTCATTTACTATAATAATATTCCCCTCCACAGTCTAGAGCAGGGTCAGTAAAAGCCCAGAATTGTTAAAAAAAAGTCTTATGCCTACTTTAATAATCTTTATACAATTTTTCTAGTTTGCACTGGTTAAGTCCTACATAAATCACACTATTGCAGGCAGGAATAGTTACAGTAGCTGTTAGGAGTATCAGTGCACAACTCACATTGTGCTTACAATCAGATGATTCTGTTGTCTGGGGTTTCTAAATGTTTGGTCTTCAATCCTTCCTTTGTTTTCTTGGTTTCACATTGTTTTCCAGAGAAGAAAAGCTGTTTGTGTGCCCATTCATTGCTGCCATGGACCCATTCTGGTGGTCTTTCCTCCGGGCTGATGCCTTCTTGTTGTAAGTCTGAGGAGTACAAGGGTAAAGGGGATTTTAATATGGTGGCCAAGATGACCTCATGGGGGAAGAGGAGCGTGGGTAAGGCTACCTTCTAGCATAAACCACCTAATGTTAGACACGTTGACATAAAAATTCTTTTTTTTTTTTTTGGGAGAGGGCTGCTGGTTTCTTTTCTATTTAAATTGTAGTGTGAAATGACCTTTGAGGTCAATAACCAAATCTGAAGTTCTGTCTTCTACTTTCATATACTCATCCCTCTGTCAAGGCTTAATTCTGATCTTAATAATACACCCTGGCCTTAAGTAAATTAGCCAACAAAGAGACCTCTCATCATGCTCCACCTTCAAGTATCGAGATGAGTGAGAAAATGAACACATTGGTAGGCAGGGGGGTGTTGTAGAGAGGGTATGAGGTCTGGATTATGGAAGATGTGGGTTTCAAAATATGTCTCTAACACCTATAAGATGAGTGACTGTGGGCAAGTCACCTATCCTTTGAACCTCAGTTTTCCTACCTGTAAAATATTGATAATCACATAATTTCTTAGCGCAATAAGTAGCTTTCTAAGATTATGAATTACAAAGCAGGTGGTGGTTGTTGTTCTAGTCATGTCCCACTCTTCATGACCCCATTTGGGGTTTTCATGACAAAGATACTAGAGTGGTTTGCCATTTTCTTCTACAGCTCATTTGACAGATGAGGAAACCAAGGCAAACAGGGTGAAGTGACTTGCCCAGGGTCACACAACTATTAAGTGTCTGAGGCTGCATTTGAACTTAGGAAGATCAGTCTTCCTGACTTCAGAACCGGTACTCTATCTCCTGTACCACCTAACTGCCCATATAAAGCAGGTACTGAGCTACATTGGTAAAACCTATTTTCCTTACTGCAAGTTCCCTGTATCAACGAAATCATAGGTCTGATCCAAAAATACCTGTGGTATCTATGTCAAAGGAATCTTGCAGTATCACAGATTTGTTATGGGAAATGCACAATGAGCAAACTCCTTTTGCCAGGGCAGATCTGTCCTGCTCTACAACTTAAAAGTCTTAGGTGGCTGCTTGGGATGCCTAAGTGACCTGTCCAGCATTCCACACACAACTAGTGTGTGTCGGAGGCAGGGCTTGGACCCAGGTTTTCCCTACTATGAGGCTGGCCCTCTCTTCACTGCATCAGACTGCCTCATTGCCTTTGATCATTTCCTTTAAATGAGAGCACGGTAAAGATTACATACATAGAGCAAGATTTGAGACTTCATTAGGGCACACGTAGCAGAGGTTAGAACCAAGGACCATTTCCTATTAGTCACTGAGAACATGTGGAAATCTACCATTGGTGAGCCCTGGAGTGGGAGCACAGAGGATTCTGGGTCATAAGACTTGGGTGGAAATCACTTTATAGGAGTACTTCAGAAAGGAGTGCTCACTTATATAACTTTCATGAAAATTTGTTTTTAAGTTTCTACTATGGATTCTAAGGTGAACTACCTACAAAGCATCTAGATTCAAATGGCATTGGAGAAATGAGTCTTTAAAATCATCTTGGATATGCTATCAAACCAGGCTCAAATTGCACCAAATACAAAAGTTGTTGGGGTTTTTTTTAGTGATTTTACCTGAATGTAGAAATTTGTGAAGAGGGTAATCAATGAAATCATGTAGCCAATTTGGAAGTACAACCATCCCAGAGGGAATGCACAAGGCCACACAACACCACAGCTAGTCTGAATGATTGTCAACACAAACTGGAGCTGTTGGGAAATGGAAAGAAAGGGGTTAGCATCTTAACTCTTCATCATAAAATAATGTAGAAAATAACATAAGCAGAACTGCCTCTACAGGTCTCTAGATAACCCAAAGGAAAGCCTTTCTAACATAGTATATAAAGAAATGTACTGACAAGCAGAGTAAACCCTCTAAGGCTTTGTGACTTGGGGGAATATGTAAGCTCCTTCAGGGCAGGGGCTGCATTTCATTTTGCATCTGTGTATCTCTAGCACCTACTAATAACTGTAGTAATAAAGGCAGTAGTAGTAGAAATAATAAACTAACATTTATATGAAGGTTTGCAGAGTGGTGTATACATACTATACACACCCACACACCATATATAGGCATATGTGTGTCATACACCACTCCATGTATGTGTGTGTACGTGAGTATGTATGTATGTATGTACACACACAAACACATAATTTCATTTGATTCTCACAACAACCCCACAAGGCAAGCACTCTTCGTTTATAGCAGGAGAGTAATAAACGCTTGCTGAATTAATAAGTACATATTGGTAGTTGGGGTTTGTTTTCTTTTAGGGAAGGAGGAAGGGTACAAATGTGATCTGGCAATGGCTGATGTGCTCTGGTCGGAAATGTGAAAAATAGATAAGAGAATGTTGCTTATTTTTCATATTTGTATATCTCTTTTGGGATAAGGTACCGTCTGGTTTACAGATTTTGCAGGGAGGGAAGTTAAGCTAAATCTGTGCACCACTTCTGATAAACAAGACAAAGGCAAACCACATGAAGCAGCTCTCAGCAAAATTAACATGTTGGAGACAGTGCATTGCTGCTACAGAGGGCTCATGTTCTGTCAAATTAATAACAGTGTAGGAGTGCAGTTCACTGCTTGAGATTTGAGAAGAGATTGTTTTTGCTGAAGATTATTTTAAAAAATAATGTACAAGTGAATCCACTAAGAATAGCCCTGAAAATAAAAAGAAGGAAATTAGGGTCAGGTCCTTCCTGCTCCCAAAATAGAGGATCCTCAATAAACTGAGTTTCCAACAGATCATTAGAATTCTGAAAACTGGAGAGCTAGTAGTTCTGATGTTTGTTCTGTTGGGTGATGTCATACAAATAAGTCTATTTTTTCTCTTCAGGTTATCAAACAACTAAAATACAAGCATTCATAAAGAACCAACCCATTTTGTCCCAGGCACTGAGAATACCAAGACAAAATCAATATAATTCTTGCCCTCAAGGAGCTTACATTCTATCAGGGAAGATAACATGTACATAAGTATATCCAAAATACAGACAAAATAATTTGGGAGAGGAAGAGGCACTGTTGGCTGGGGGCTTCACGTCAGAGGTGCTTTCCCCTTACGTATTTTGTATTTACTCGCATACAGGTTATTTCTCCTCAGTCCTTGAGAGCAGGAGCTGTTACCATTTTTTGTCTTTGTATTTCAGATAGTACCTAACACACAGTAGGTACTATATACCATAAAAAAGAATTGGGAAACTAAAGAGGCCTATGATGAAGACCTACTCTGAATAAAAATTCTATCTAAGAAGAATCTTTTAACAATGACAAAGATCTATCTGGAGAGTTCTATACTAGTTCAGTTTATTTAAAAGTCCATTGTTATCATTTTTTTCTTGTTTGACCTCCAGGGCACTTGGGTAATGTTATGAATAGTGTCAATGGTGCATGTTTTCCCTCTTCTATACTGCCGGCTACTTGAGGTCAGGAATATAATTTAAAACAGAACAAATGAACACGAAGTCTTTTCCACCCCACCCTAATAGCTAGAGGGATTAGGAAAGAACTCATATTAGGACAGAGGTGGCCCTCAAGTTGAACTCTGAAGGAGGCTAGGATCCCAAAGAAGGAGTACACTTCAGTCATAGGAAAGTACAGGCAAGGGCAAGGAGATAAAAGATGGAATGTCAGGTATGGGAAAGAATGAACAGGTACATTTGCTGGAATGGAGAGTGGTTGAGGAGTGGTGTCAAGCACGATAAGCCTGAGAAGGTACACTGCACCCAGATGGGGAAAAGGGCTTAAGACTACGTGAGAATTCAGACAGGTTACATACCTCTCCTCTCCTGGCTCCTTACAGAAACACTCAGACTCTCAGATGTCTAACCCCCACAGGTATCACACAGCTAGCCCCAGAGAGTGAGATCTACTCACAAACCACTGCAATAATGCAGCTGCCATCAATTTAATGGGGAATCTAAGGAGCCCGGGACGATGATGATCACTGGGAAATTCTGTGGGGAAGGTAAGGTAAGAAGCAGTAACTGAGCTCAACCAGGAGCATGGTGGGTTTTATTATGTTATCAACTGGCAGCAGGCTCAGCCTTTCCACAAAGGGCTGCTATGCTCAACATCACACCCTTGCATATAATGAGGCCCTCCAAAAAAGTCTGCTGATTGAAGACATACAGCTCTCCTGCTTTTTGCTGAGCATACACTTCTCAGCTGTCTGACTCACAAGAAATGTTTTGAAATTTGGACCTTCCTTCATTCTCTGAACAGGCATGGAACTTAGATAAGGGTCAGGCATTTAGAGCTGGGAGGGATTTTAAGAGGTCAGGGAGTCCAACTCCCTCATTTTACAGAGGAGGAAGCGGAAGCCCAGAGTTCTCCACACCTTGGATTTTGGCATAAGGTGTAAAGACACCCACGTACACACACCCCACATGCATCACAGCACAGAAAAAGAACAGCAAGACATCTAGCCTGACTGCCTTTCAGAGGTAATTAACTTTTACCTGATAGCATATCCAGAAGAAAAGGCCAATATCACTCACCAGCTGTCCCTGAGTAATGTACTTCTTCCACCACAAATACGGGCGCATGGATGGAATGGCAGACAGACCGTAGTAAGAATACATGAGGACATGAATAAAGCTGTTAAGGGTGGCACCAAAGTAAGCTGTAGAGATTGGAGGGAGAGAAAAGAGAAGGACATGTCATCATGGTTTTCTACATCACTGGTTAAAATGTTCACAAAGCTAGGAAAACTTTAAAAACACAACAACAGAAAACAGCTCCTTGTTGTATCTTGAAAAGGGAGTAAATCTATCATTCACTCCTAAGCAAGTGCCTTGTCAACCATCTCAGTGTAAACACGTCACGAATAAGAACTCAATTTCTCCTTGGCCAGGCTGCAGCAGCTGGGATGGGCTGCAAAGGCAGGGTTCACCTGATCCAAGGGCCTAAGGCCAATTCTCTGGCTCCATGCCCTCAAATGGGGGACACATACTGTGACCCAGGGCCTTCATGCCTAACTATTTCCCACACAGTTTTAAGCTGTATCTCCAGGATGTGAGAAAAGATAGCTAACAGATGCTTACTGCTACTCTGCAGGGTCATCAAGTAAGATGCCTCCAAGATCAGCTAGTCTGACCTCTTCACTTTAAAGATGAGGAAACTGAGGCCTAGAGAGGGAGGCTCATCAACTTGCCCACAAGCAATTAAGTTACAAAGCTTAGGTGACAGAGGTGAGGAACCTTCGGCCTCGAGGCCACATGCAGCCCTCTAGGAACTCAACGGTGGCCCCTTGACTGAATCCAAATATCACAGAACAAATTGTGCCCCAAGGCTGCAGGTACCCCACCCCTGGCTTAGGAAATGGACTAAGATTTTACATGTATGATCAAACTGGTGGAAAGAGCATGGGGCCTTCTATACACCAGGGAATTCAAGCTGAGGTCTAGGTCTTACCCACAAACCAACTCCAGGCAAGTCACAAACTCATTATGCCTCAGTACCCTTATGCATCACATGGAAAGAGTCATATATGCCAGACTCTGTACTTCACTGGGTTTCTGAGAGAATCAAATGTAATACCAGACAGAATTTCTTTGAAAAATCTGCAAGATGGTATTATTACTATTAGGTGTAATTGTTATTATTTAATTTAAAGCAGTCAAATTATGTGCAAAAGTCAGCTTTGGTATAGAGGAAGCAACAATAAACTCAAGAGTTGATCTCCAAGCAGTAATGTTAAGAGTCAAAAGAGTTCTGGGCATGGAGTCAGGGGTCCTGGGTTCCAATTTCACCCTAGATCCTCAATGGATGTGAGTGTGATTATGGGTAAATCATGGTAACTTCTCAGAGCCTCAGTGTCCTTAACTGAAAAATAGGATAACCCTTCAGTGACCTACTCCATGTGGCTGTTGCCAGGGACTAGCTTTGCCAACCCTGAATTGCTGGAGAAATGCAAGTCATTATTAATGATCATTATCTCTCTGAAATCTAGTAGGCATAGTTCATAAAAGGGTAGCACTATCAAAGGAGCTCTAATGTGGAAAGGAGACAGTATGCTGTAGTGGGAAAGGCAATGAATTTGGAGTCAGGGGACCCAAGTTCAATCCTAGTCCTGGTATTTAGTCCCGACAGAGCAAACCTTTTAACCTCCTGGGCCTCAGTTTCCTTGTCTGTAAAAAGAGAGGGAGGGCCTGGATGACCTCTAAAGCTTCTTGAAGCTCTGAGGCTAAGGTCCTATGAAATGCTAAAGAAACTGGCAAGGCTGAAAGGGCCAGAAGGTACCCATCAAAATTCAGGAGGGTTGTGGGGCAAGCATTTTAACTGAAGCCATTTGTTAAACCTTTTTGCATGATGAGATTCTTATCAGGAAGAATAGCTATTCTGGGCTACAATAACTGGTTGAACTCAAAGGTAACATTTTGAATAGTGAAAATCAGAAGCCCTCTCAGATGAAAGATGACAGCAAAAGGCTCCCAAGCTGCTCCTTTAAAAGCAGAGGAGACACTTCTTAGAGAGTTCATTTCCAGTTTTCAAGTTTTGTTAGAAATGAAAGTTATACACATGCTAATGGAAAATCAAATGGATTACATCAATATATGTGAGTAGGGTTTAAAAAAAACTATATGATGATGATGATGATAATAGTAATAATAATGATGATGATGTCAACAGCATTTACATATAGGGCTTTAAGGTTTGCAAAGCACTTAACACGTTATCTCATTTAATCCCCAAGACAACTCTGTGAGGTGTTATTATTCCATTTTACAGATAAAGAAAAAAAAAGAGGCTAGTAGAGATTAAGTGACTTGCTTAAGGTTACTACTTAGTAAGCCTGGGACAGAATTTGAATTCATCTTGTCTCCAAGTCTACTGCTCTGCCTACTATGCTACAGCCAACCTGGCCTACTCAGGGATTCACAGATTTAGAGAAAGAAGTGACCTCAGTGGGTGTCTAGTCTAAACATTCTCATTTGACAGATAAGGAAACTGAGGTCCAGGGAAGTTAGGTGACTCAAGCTCACAGGAACAAAGATTTAGGTGTGGAAGGGACCTTGAAGGACATCTAGTCCAATTACCTTATTTTACAGATAGAGAAACTGAGGTCCAGTGACTTAGGCTCATATGACCTTGGATTTAATGGTGTAAAAAGTACAGGGCTTGAATTCAGGTCCTGTAATTTAAAATCTAGTGGTCTTTCTACTGTGCTGCTTGGTCTACCCCTTTAAGAAAGACCCAAACACAGTTCAGGAGGGAAAGAAAATCCATGAAATCATGTTAAAGAAGGTTTGAGGGGCTTAACCAGATGCGGAAAGGGAAAAAAAATCTGGGAGGAGAGGTAGGTCAGGGGATCCCCAGACAGCAGCTACATAGCTAGTTGGCTGACTTACAGTAAGACTGGACCTCTCAGGGGCTCCCGGTGTCACTGGTGCCCCAGTCTCTTGAAATATCACTGGGTACTTCTCCTAATCATCCCATTAGGCTACTTAGCACCGGATATTTTAAGAAAGAAAAAAAAAAAGAGTAGATTCCAATATCATCATCTCTCCCTGGGCCTACCCAAGCCTGCACTATACAGGTAAGACAACAAAGTCCAAATTCTTGAGTCACAGCATTTTAAACAGGCAGAGATAGTCCCCACTCACTGAGTGCCCCAAGATTCCAGCTGCCATCTCTGCACGTGCATCTGATAAAGTCACTTCAGTCTGAATGATACTCACAGTGACCACAGGGCACCCAGTTCATGACAAACCACCAAATATTCAGCATGGAGGCGTGGTGGTACACATGCAGGACGGTGATCTGATGGTTGTTCTTTCGCAAAATAAAGAAGAAGGTGTCCATAAACTCAATGAGTTTGGAGAAGTAGTACCACCAGAGGACCCGGATGATCTAAGGGGAATAACAATTACAATACTCATAATAAACAAACTTCATTTATATAGGGCTTTGAGGTTTGTAAAGTACTTTACAAACATTAACTCATTTGGTCCTCACAACTACCCTGGAGAGGTAGGTGTTATTATTATCCCCATTTTACAGACGAAGAAACTAAGGCGGGTAGAGGTTAAGTGACTTGCCCAAGGTAACACAACTAGCAACTGTCTGAGGCTGGATTTGAATTCAGGTCTACCTGACTCTGAGATTCTACGCAGTGGATAGAGTACTGGGCCTGGACTCAGACACTTACTAGCTATGTTACTCTGGGAAAGTCACTTAATCCTGTTCACCTCATTTCCTTATCCGTAAAATGAGTTGGAGAAGGAAATGACAAATCACTCCATTATCTTTGCCAAGAAAACCTCAAATGGGATCATGAAGAGCCACATATGACTGAAAATGATCAAACAACGACAAAACTTCCTGACCCCAGCTGCAGTGCTCTAATCACTGTATCACCTAGTTGCCTCTAGGATAAAAAAAGGACGGAAAAGGAAGAAAGAGGATTAAAGCCTGGTTACCGGTATGTCTTTCCAAAGCTGTCCTGTTGCGGACATACAGGGTGTTCCACAGGTCATCATGTGGTTTTAAGTTAAAACTTATGACTTTTGGGATACCCCGAGTTTCTTAGCTAATTTCTTAGCTTACTTTTCGCTTCAAATTTTTAACTTAAAACGGCACTAGACTTTTGGAACACTCTGAATTTCTTTTTAGTCCTCAAAAGAGTCACACAGAGTGTCTGTTAACATCTAAGAAAGACACAAAGGAGTTCAGTACATCCCACTGCGGCCTTAAAGCCCTGTACTGGAGGGTTCAGGGGAAGGGAACAACTGAAGAATTACAAGAGCAAGGTGACAAGACTCAATAGATATTCATGTGAAAGAGAGTTAACCACCAACAAAGTATGACATAGCTGCCAAAAAGAAAACAAAACAAACCAACCAACAAGCCCTCAAGTTGCTTTAAAAGCCTAATGCCCAGAACAAAGAAGCTGATGGTTCCAGAGGACAACTCTGCTCTGGGTAAAGATCATAGATAGGGTCACAGAGGAAGGGACCTCAGAGGGCACCCAGACCGACCCCCTCATTCCACAGGAACTTGAGGCGCAGAGAGGAGTACTGATTCACTTAACATCACATAGGTAATCTACAAGTGGCAGACTTGGGATTTGAACCCAGGTCCTCTGATGGCAAATCTGGCACTCTTTTCACTACATCAGTGGTCCTCAAAGCATAGTCTGCAGACTCCTGAAGGAGGGGTGGCGGTGGTTTCTAAGACCCTTTCAGGAAGTCTACAAGATCAAAATTATTTTCATAATAATAAGATTATTTGACCACTAAAATATTCCTCCTTTTTTCCAAACATATATCTGCGGGAGGCCAGATTGCCTTCATATACTTCAACCAAAACAATGTCGCAATAGGCTGAATGCAAAAGCTGATGAGAATCCAGCTGTTTCCTATTATGCCAGGCATTAAAGAAATTTGCAAAAAATATGTAAAACAATGCTACTCTTCTCACTACGTTTTTTTGTCTTAGAAAATAGTGATTTTTCATTTTAAAATGAATTTTTTAATGAATCAATATATTTTGAAATTAGGTTTCAATTTCTAATATTGCAAATATTGATGTAATCCACATAAATAAAAGCTTTTTGGGATCCTCAATAATTTAAGAGTAGAAAGGTGTCCCAAGACTACAATGCTTGAGAACTGCTGTGCTCTGCTGGATACATTAGCAAATCTAAGTATGTCTGGAAGAAAATGAACAAGATGTCACAGGAATCCTTGAAGGAAATCGGGCAGTTAACCTGGAGAAAAGAAGACTTAGGGATTAATAAGATATGATCACAATCTTCAAATACCTTAGAAAAAGTGACTGTATGGAAGAGGTATTAAAATTAGACTTTCCTTTGTGGCTCTAGGGGACAGGCAGAGGACCGATGAGCAAAAGTTAGAAACAGTGGTAGACTCAGTAGATGAACAATCAAAAAAAAAGTTAGAATCATTTGAGCAATCCCAAAAGTACACCGTTTTGCCTTACATGGTAGTGAATTCCCTGTCCCTCAGAGTATTCAAGCAGATGTTGAATTAGAATTATTATTCTGTAGGAGAGGAGGGGAATTCCTGCATTCTGGTATGGGGTTGGACCAAATAGCCTTCAGTGATTTTGAAGAGGTGAAATCATTCCTAGACCTCAAGTTCTAGCCACAAAGTAAGTTCTCCAGTGTGAATTATAACTTTAAGTGAACAGCAGGAAAAGCAAGAAATGACAATGAGAAAGATATTTAAATAGGGCCACCAGCACTCATTAATAACCGAAAAGTACAGGTCTTTGGATTCTCTTTGAAAGCACTGGGATTAATCAGCACAAAAAAAGGCTTATTTGATTTCAGTGAATGAAGTGAGGCAGAGAAAAAAGGAGGCCCGATCTTCCGTTTCAGAAGTTCATAGAAGAAGAGGTATCAAACAGAGAACAAAGGCACCGACTAAACACTTGGAACTCGGAACTGACTTCTTTTAAGAGGAGAGGGAGTGCACCTCAACGATCAGCAGATAAAGTCCCAGGTCTGCTGACTAGCATTTAAGGCCTCCCACAACTCGATCCCAACTTAACTTTCTAGCAGATTTCTCTGTTTTGAATGTCTCCCTCTCCGCCCTGACCTCTGCCAGTCTAGCTCGTCTTTGAATCAATAAGCATTCATTACGTGTCTACTGTGTACCAGAGACTGTGCTAGGCCAAAGAGATACACAGAAAAAAATTAAACAGTAACTAGGAGCCGAGAGAGAGAATATAAAAAATAAAATCAAACCCAAACTCAGTTCAAATGCCGTCTCTTCCCTAAAGCCTCAGACATCCACGGACCCAGCACATTCCACCTTACATCACAAGGTTATTTCCACTTGTCTCGTCCTTACTAAGATCATAAGCTCCTTGAGGGCAGGCCCTGGATCCTATTCACAACTCTCTTTATGCAGTAGGTGCTCAATAGTCCACACCTATGATTTTACCAGTGTAGGGAATTCTTCTCAGGGAAGAAATTCCTTTGCCTAATGCAGGTTGGTCCATGACTTCAGAGTCCTAGAGAGCTGCCCAGGACACTACAGAGTTTAGAGACTTGCCAAGGATCTCACAGACAGTAGTCTTGACTCTAAGGTCAGCTCTCTCTATCTGCTAGCTGGGGAAGGAAAGGGCAAATCACTCTAGTATCTTTGCCATGAAAATCCCAAAAGGGGTCATGAAGAGTCAGACTCTCTCAAAAAAGGGCTGGACATAACTGTAAAAAAAAAAAAAGGGGGGGGCGGCTAGGTGGTGCAGTGGATAGAGCACCAGTCCTGAAGTCAGGAGGACCTGAGTTCAAATCCAGCCTTAGACCAAACACTCGACACTTACTACTTGTGTGACCCTGGGCAAGTCACTTAACCCCAATTGCCTAAAAAAACCCAAAAGACTTAACATCAATAAGTGCTTAAGCCCTGGGGGTACAAACAAAGATAAGAAAACAGTCCCTGTACTAAAAGGAGCTCACATTCTAAAACGCAGACTTTTAAAAAAAAATGTCCACACAAGATATTTACAGAGTAAATGGAGGTAATTTCAGAAGGAAGGCACCAGCATGGGAAGTACAGAGTGGGATGGGTAGGGAAGGGCCAGGGAAGGTCTCCTGATGAAGGTGGGATGTGAATGGAGTTTCAAAGCATTAAAAGGCTAAAGACAACAACAAAATGATAAATTACCTTCAAATCTGCTTCTCCTCCACTACGAGTGTCTTGACAGAAGAAATTGTATTCTCCTTCCCATACTCCCGTTACTAACTAAAAAGCACAAAACAAAAACAAAAACAGCCCATCAGTCCATAAGTAACAATAACAATAACAGCTGACACTTTTAAATAAATGCTTTAAGGTTTGCAAACACTTTATGAACATGACCTTAACTGACATCCCAACTAGCCTGCGAGGCAGGTGCTGGAGATCTTATCACTATTTCACAGATGATGACACCGCGGCTCACCAGACACTACACTCCAGACCCCGACATGGGGGAATGTGCAGCTCCAGGACATGCAGCACACTTCCAACACCCTGACTCCACTATCTTCTATCTCATATTACGGTGGGTTTTTTTTTTAATTTTTGCTGATCTTATCCCTACCAGTCAACAGTTAACAGCACTTTATTTAGTGTCTATTACTTGTGCTAGCGATATAAAGAAGGGCAAAAGCCAGTCTTTCCTCTCAAGAAGTTCAAAGTCTAAGGGGGAACCATTAGGAAAACGACTATGTATAAAGAAAGACATTTACAGGATAAACTGGAGACAGTCAACAGAAGGAAGGCACTGGGTTATTACAGGGGATCAGGAAGAGGCAAGATCTTACTCCCTTCTACATCTCTCCTGATATGTCTTTAACACAATAGTGCACAGTAGTCTATATCTGTGATTTCACCAGTGTAGGGAGAGCTCCCCAGTGAGAGGATTCCCTTGGCTAATGCAGCTTGGACTGTAACTTAGGAGCCCTTGAGTTGCCTAGGGCACTGAGAGGTTAAGGGACTCGGCAAGGGTCACACAGCCAGCAGATGTCAAAGACGGTGTTTGAACTCGCGTCTTAGAAGAACTTAAAATTTCTTCTTTTAAAAAAATTAATTAATTTATTAAAGTACTTAAAATTTCAAGAGGCCACCAGGTAGCTGATTTTTGCTCTCTGATCTCCCTCTGGTTTGGCATCTATGCTGTAAAGGAGTAGCCAGAACTAATAACGTGGTTGTATGACCAAAGATGATGATGTTTTTTTTTTTAAAGAGGCATTGGGGTGTACTAGGTGGAACATAGAGAGTCTGAGAATCAGAAGACATGAATTCTTGACCCAGTTCTGTCCCTAGCTAGCTTGGGTCCATTATTTGACTTCTCCGGGTCTCAGTTTCCTCCACTTAAAATATGAGTTGGACTAGGTGTCAGTGCTAATATTTTAGTAGTGTAGGTGGTAGTGGTGGTAGCAGTGGTGGTAGTAGTAAAGACAGCTATAGCATCTATACACTGTTTATGGTTTGCAAAGTGCTTTATTAATATATCTCATTTGATCATTACAACCACCTAGGGAGGTAGGAAACCCAATTTATAGATGGGTAAAGGCAGAGAGGCAGACAGAGAGTTGCTCAGTCACAAAGGGAATTAAGTGTCTGAGGTTGAACTTGAACTCAGGTCTTCCTGACAGGTTTCACTGTTGTTATCCACTGCACCACCTAAATGCCTAGATGCCTCTACGTTCTATGATAAACCAGAAATTGAGATAAACTGAATATAAGGCTCGGCAGCTAGGTGGCAACTGAGTCAGGAAGACTTATTTTCCTGAGTTCAAATCCGGCCTCAGACACTTACTAGCTGTGTGACCTTGGGAAAGTCACTTCACTCTGTTTGCCTCAGTTTCCTCAATGGCAAACCACTCTTTGAGTATCTTTGAGAAGAAAACCCCAAATGGGATCACCAAGAATGGGACATGACTGAACCCACAACAAGAATACAAGCTATGTGGAATAGGATTTGGAAGGTTTGCTTACATTGAAAATCAGTTTTACTAGAAACAAACTAAAATCCCCAGTGGGACTTCAAAAGGAAAAAAATAAGCAAGTTGGAGAGTGGAAGGATGTTGTCTGATAGAGGAAGGTATTCAGGACAACTGTACCCTTGAAGGCAAAAAACAAATGGCAATCTCTTCCCGAAGAGGGAGAAATTCTTCATTCTCCAAGGTACAGTCACCGAAAATATCAAGTGAGGGATTATCCAGTAGTTAGAGGAAGAAGCTGAGGGCCCTCATCAGGGGTGACTGAAGTCTTTGTTTTCAGACCTGAAAACTACAATAGAGAGGCCTCTTTTCTCCAGGGCATGTAACCCAAGATGTAAACAGGGAACTTTCCAAGGCTTGTCAAAACAGGACAATTCCCAATTTCTGGTGATACTGATAGAAAAAAAGAGCTTACAAGATCGTGGGCCAGAAACTCAAGAACATAGTCTGGGCTGTCTTTTCCTCTCCACTGCTCACTCAAATCAAAGTATACAGAACAGAAAACTGCTTTAGGAAGTAAGCAGCTGGCTAAGAAGGTGGTGTCTGAGAATGGGACATTTGATCTCTGGACAACAGCTGAAAATTTAGGGAGTCTAACAAAGGTTGGTAAGAATGTGCTTGCTTGACGTCTAGCAAACCTAATCAAAAAGAGTTACTATAAAAAGGCCAGGGAATAATAATAATGCTAATAGCTTGTATATGGTGCTTACTATGTGCCAGGCACTGTTCTAAGTGCTTTACAATTATTATTTTATTTGATCCTCACAACAACCCTGGGAGGTGGGAGCTATTATGATCCCCATTTTACAGATGAAGGACTGAGGCAAACAAAGGTTAAGTGACTTGCCCAGGATCACATGGCTAAGAAGTATCTGAGGCTGGATTTGAACCCAGGTCTTCCATAGCCCTATCCACTGCACCACCAGCTGCCTCAAAAGCAGAAAAACTGCCCATTTTTCCCCCCCAGCAAGCTATATACCATAGAGGATACCTACAACGATAAAGACACTATGTGAGATACTTGTTAGTTCATAAGGGACAAAATGCAAAAACAAAAAAAGGAACTGGTTATAAAATCTAAAGGCTGCAATATGGCTGTGCTCAGTTTATCCAAGAAGACCTGAAGACCTTAATGCATGAACATATATTTTACCTCATAGGCCTCACTGAAAATTGATGGCTCTGGACAGCAATCCCATATTCAGAAGAAACAAGATAGGTTTAAAAAAAAAAAGATAGGAACACTGTCTGACAACTGGTAAAGTAGAACTGCTCAATTCTTACTTTCTTTTTTTGCTGATGACAAAAATGGCTAACAGGAAGTCCACTCAACAAGACATTTATTAAGCCCTTATTACATAGTTACCTAAGACTAAAGAGATAGTAAGAAAACACCTAACTGTCCCTGATGAATTCTAACCATCTGGCCCAGCTGAACAATACATTATAATCTTAATGGCTGAAAGAAAATGGCACACGAGACTGATGGTCAAGCTGCTGTCCACAAGCCACTCCCAAGAGATCTTGGGGAGCAGGAGAGGCACTGTTATTTGCTGAATAAAGACAAAGTACCCCATTCAAAAAAAAAAAAAAGGAACAGAGCCTGCAAACTATAGTAGTAGTTCAAATACTACAGCAACACCATTGCTTAACATTTATACTTGGCTTACCCTTCCAAGTGACTCTAGGCACTATGAATCTCCTCCAAAGAAAAACTCCCATTTTCTATGAGGGCCTCATTTCATCACTCCTTTGCCAGTGGACAAAGCAAACTCTCCAGGAAGTGCTTAAAAGCAGCCTAGATCATTAGGCAAATCAGTTAGGGAAGTTACCACTAAGACAGTGACTTCTAGCTTCTTCAAGATAGTTAAGTGCTTTCTTGTTGAAAAGCTTGTTTTCAGTTCCAGAATATGAACCATTAAATACTTAATGGCAGATGCAATTCAGTATATATGCACATATCACACACACGAACACATAGACCACAGATCTACTTCTACTGCTGGAAAACGACCTTTGGAGGCCATCTAGTTCAATTCCATCTTTAACAAATGCAGAAACTGAGGCCCAGAGGAGTTTAAGAGACTTGCCCAAGGTCACATCTCTCTGTCTGGTAGAAGCCTTATTTTTTCTTCCAGGGAAAGGTGGAGGGACAACCTCTGATAGGAAGGTTTTCCTGATCACTTTGAACTTGTCTTCTCAGATTACCTAGATTTTACTTCTCTGAGTACATACTGTAGAATATAAACTACTTAAGGGCAGGCAGGATTTTCTAGAGTGTTACACTAGGTGTTAGATGAATGAGTGGATTAAGCTAGGGAGGAGGCAGTAGAGGAAGCAGGTCTTGGAGTCAGGTAGACCTGAGTTCAAATCCAGACTCAGACACTTGCTAGCTATGTGACCCCAGCAAGTCACTTAACCTCTGTTTGCCTTAATCCACTGGAGAAGGAAATGGCAAATCACTCCACCATCTTTGCTAAGAAAACCTCATGGACAATACGGTTCACAGGGCAGATCTCAACAACAACAACAACAACAACAACAACAACAACAATAACAACAGAGTTCAGAGCATTATTGAGGTAAAAGAAATGGCCTTCAGGCACTGTAAGTCTCCTCATACGCAATGAGATGGCCCCGATTCAGACTGTCCTTTTAGCTTCTTTACAATGAATATAATTACATATAGCCTTCCTTTGTAGGGTGGGTGGTCTGGATTCAGCGGCATAATTTTTTTACCTTCTTCAGAACCCCTCTGACCACACGGAAAATGTGGGAGGATTCTATCGGCTTGATTTTTCAGGAAATGAAGTGAAAGCGCCATTGTGCTCCCAAAACAGGGTGGAACAGTTCCCCCATTACGTCTATGTTGTTTCTCAGGGCTGCACAATTGATTCCAAAAACAAACACACAAATAAAGCTAGGGATTGTTATTTACTCTGTTCCTTCCAATAAACCAAGATTATTTTCAGCCACATGTCAACAGGTACCTATCTTGTCCGAGTAAAGCTTGTTTTAATTGGTACCAGCGGATTTGCTGAGCCTATAATTAAACGGCACACATCTCTTGTCTTCAGATGTGTTAAATTAAATCACCAGTGATGACTGGGTGCATCCTGGTGTTTTGAGGACAAGTACTGAACCCCTGACAACAGCTAGCCTGTGACCAGTGTGATGAACAGAACTGAACCTTGCTGTTCAAACATCTGCCACAGTGAGGTCTGGGCATTTTAAAGCTAACATTTCATTTCTTCA